GGAGGATTATACCCGTGTTGGGCCCTCCTTTACATGGAGCTGGACTCGGTTGTGCCCGACGATAGGTCAGCCCCAGGCGCAGTCCAGAACAGGAGCCCCCCAAGTCGTTGCTCTCAGTTAAGAGAGTAATGACTTAGATTCAATTCACATGTCAAAAAGGGATGAAGAAAATCTGCGAGAGAAGGGCGTTTGTTCGGATTCGTGGTTGTGAGTTCGCGCAACAACGCTCGCGTGGAAGCGCGGAGTCACTCCTTGTGCCCGACAGCTCGATCATGTAAAAAGGATTTTCGTTGAGTCAGTGCTCTCGAGGTTTATCTATGCTCGACGACAAGGTTAAACTTCGTGTTTATCTTGAGGACATGTGATCATGATGGGGCAAAGTCGTTATCTGTGTTCGATGATGTAACTTGTTTCAAACCTTTCTCAGAGGACGTGCTCGCGATGTAATATGGGAGTGAAAGGAGCGGACACCTCATTCCCTCGAGCCGTGTGACAGGGCTTGAAAGGACAGGTGTGGCGTCTCTTTGAGCCAATTGTTTTTCTTTTGAAAAAAATTCTAAGTTTTTAGTGGATTTTTGAAGAACTTTATTAATATTTCTCGGTCTTTTGGAGAGCTATGAGTTTTTATCATATTTTTGGAGATCTCGTGAGCTTTTATTAGATTTTTCAAATTATACTAGATTTGAACTATCTATTTTTCAAATACGCTATTAGATTTTTTAAAACTCTTAATTTTTATCGAATTTTTCAAATAATCTATGAGTTTTTTATCGGATTTTATAAATATACTATTGGATTTTTCAAAATTTTATAAGTTTTTATTGTATTTTTAAAAAATTCAGTATCATACTAGATTTTTCAAAAAGTCTGATAATGTTAATTTCATTTTTTTTTCTTATAAGAAATGAACTACAAGATTTTTTAAAAAAAATTATAAAACATACTAGATTTATAAAAAAATTCAAATATATTAAATTCTTTTTTATTAATCGGTAAAAATGCATACACGAATTTTCAATTGCATTATCAGATTTTTTTTATTCATCATTCGATGGTAAGTAACGCCAACGTTTGTTAGGCCGAAGGGCATTACATTATAGTAATAGTTGTCCGACTCAGTCATGAAAGTCGTGTATTGCTTGTCCGTTTTTGCCATGGGGATTTGGATGTACCCCGATTATGCGTCCATGAATGACAATAGTTTGAAACCTACAAAGTTGTCGATGTTAGGCAAAGCATATGCATCTTTGGAGCAGACCCTATTAAGATTGGTATAGTCAACACACATTCTTCATTTTCCATTAGATTTTTTAACTAATACAACGTTAGACAGCCAGATTGTGTACTGGGCTTCAAAAATAAAATTATCCTCTAGGAGGTCTTTTACATCTAACTCAGCAGCCTCCGCTTTTTCGGGAGACTGCCTACGCCTACGTTGAACTACGACCCTAGCAGTAGGATCTATGGTCAGCTTATGACAACAACGTCGAGGTCCAGCCCGAGCATCTCTGCAGCGCTCTATGCGAACAAGTCAATATTCTCCCTTAGGCATGACTTCAGTTGCTTTCTTTCCAAGTCGGGGAGTCTCGTATCGATCTTCACGACTTTGTTCGGGTCATTGTCGAGGAGAATGAGCTCGAAGTCGCCATTGGGAATGGGGCACGTAGGATGGAGAAGTTCCCCGTCGTTCCCAGATGTTGGAGACGTGTCTAATGTTGCTCAATTGTGCTCCCGCTTGTTGGTGAAGTAGTTGTCGAGGTCGACTAAATTGACGCGAGGCAACAGCTTATGCTCCTCGGATCGGGTTGGCTTGCTGGCAATCTTGGGCATCATATTGATCGAGTTCATCCCCTTTGTGGCTGCTTCAAAGCATCTTCTCACGACCTCAATGTCCCCGTGAAGAGTGACGGCGCGACCCCTGGTTGTATAGTACTTCATCTTTAAGTGGACCGTGGATGGCATGGCGGTCAGCTCAGCCAAAGTCGGTCTTCCTAGAATGCACTAGTAAAGAGATAGGTACTCTATAACCAGGAAACAGACTTTTACTTGTCTGACGGTTTTCTCTGTCCCAAAGGTGACAAGCAGCTCAACATAACCCCATGACTTAATGGTTGTGTTGTTGAAGTCTTGCAGGTTGGAGCCTACATACGGTGTCAAATGCCTCTCGTCGAGCTCGTGAGTGGTGAACATATGAGCGTACATAATATCGACGGAGCTCCCTTGGTCGACCAAGATGTGAAGGATGTCGAAGTTCCTCATTTGTGCTCTTATGAGCAAATGAATGTTGGAGTTTGGAGAACCGCCTGGCAGCTCCTCAAGGTAGAAGGTGATGAGGTTTGATTTTTCCTGGAACCTGTCGAGGGTGGTGTTTTGGTCGAACTTGCGTTAATCAGCTCATCTAATTTCCTTTTCACCGACCCCACAGTGAGCTTGTTGAATCCTCCTCCGGATATGACCATAGTGGAGGGAAAGTTCTCCCATGTGTTGTGGGCATACAAGTGCATGTCGGTCTTGTCGGGGACATAGAATTCGTCAGGTCGAGAGACATAGAGGTCGACCTGTAAGTCGGTGTTTTCAGAGGGTGGTGTTTCCTCCTCGACCTTCTTTGTCTCATGGACGTCCTGTCGAGGAGCCTCGCTCCTCTTGGTGTACTGTTTCAGGCGTCCTTCCTTGATGAGGATATCGATTACATCCTTGAGGTGGATGCAGTCTTCGGTGACGTGCCCGTGGCTCCTGGGGAACCGACAATACTTGGATTTGTCGACGTTGGGCTTGAGGGGTGTTAGCCTGGGAAAATGAATCCTTCCCTATTGGAATTACGAGTTTATGCACTTGGCCAGTATGCGCTCGCAGGGAGCGGTCAAAAGAGTGTACTTAGAGAAGCGTCCTGCTGGTCCTCTGTGCTCACGGGGGTCGCGGGGCTTATCATCTCTTCATTTTTCCCTACCACGTCGAAGAGCCATATGGTCATCATACTTCACGACTTTAGTGCTCTCTTGGTTTCGTGAGTCACAGGCATTGTTGGCGGCCTTTCTCTCCTCGTACTGGACGTAGGCTTGGACTTTGAGGAAAAGGTCATCTAACGAACGGGGCGTCTCAATACCAACTACTTTTGCAAAGTCGCTGCAGGGGCACAACTCTCGCTCGAGCAAGTACCTCTTCATCCGCTCAGTTGTGGTGATTTAGACGACCTCTCATTGGACCTCTCTATGTAGACTCGGAGAGATTCATCTTTCCCCTGTATGATGGTCTTGAGCGACGCCTCAGATTTCGGATGTCGTCGAGAGGCGGTGAAAAGCTTGGTGAAATGTGTCTTCAGATCCTTGTGGGAAAGAGTTTGCACTTGATGGCGCCTATAACGTTACGGTATTCGAGCATCGCATCGATGTTTTCGATGTGATCGTCTGGGTCCGTCGTGCCATCATAGGTTGTCAGACTTGGTGGTTTTTCCATCCCGGCGAGGATGAGGGTCTCCATAATTGCTCGAAATAATGGACCGAGAGAGGTCGTGCGGAGGGTTTCTACCGCGTCGAGTTCTTTGGTCGACCCCTCGACTTATCCAGTTCCCACATACGACGCAATTGATCTTACTGGGATCAAAAATTCAATCGGCGGCCAACAACACGAACACACACACATACACACTAATAAGAAACATACTTTTAAATAAGTTTTCAAGTCAGACCGAACTTTTAAAAAGATCAGGTCAGACCAAAAAAGAGAGCCTATAGTAGGTCATAAAGCATATTCAGGCCTTTTAAGTTTATCATAGGTCAGACTCATACCTTCTAAAGCCTAGTCTATTTCCACCCCTAGGTAGAATGTTAAAATTGTTAGTTCCTGAAATATATTTCCAAAAATTTTTTGAAAATATATTTTTAGAATAAATGTATTGATAAAATTGAGGTTTGACTAAAAAACGAATTAAATATGTATATTGAGGTGTGTCCGAAAATACATTTTTAAAATTGAAAACATTTAAAATTTTATGTGACACCTAAGAAACATATAAAGTGCAATAAAAAAATTCTCTTTTAAAGGTCAGAATGATCTTTCCGAAAATGGCCGAATGATTCTTTCAAAAAGAATCAAAATGGACAATTTAAAAATCTAAAAAAAAGAAAATGGAGGTGATTTGAAAATTTGCCTCCAATTTAATGTTTTAAGGTCTTTGTCTACTCATTTACAGTTTTGAACAAAATAGAACAGCATAGAATATTACAAGGTAAGAGAAGAGACACTCTCTTCCACTTTTCTTGGCTGAGGTTAGAAGAAAACAAGGATGGTCGACCAACTTCACAAATAACTTTAACTCACCGCAAAATAAACCCAGTAGAACATCTCCATATATAGGAGGTGGCATCACCTACACACACACACACATATATATATATATATATATATATATATATATATATATATATATATATATATATATATATATATATATATATATATATATATATATATATATATATATATATATATATATATATATATATATATATATATATATATATATATATATATATATATATATATATATATATATATATATATATATATATATATATATATATATATTCTTTTATGAGAAAATGAAAAAATCCACCTATTCAATCACGCCCATGCTGAGCAATTGATTGTTGAACTACTCGCAAAACAGAAATAGAAACCAAAATCCCTAATGCTTAACACCTAACAATAACAAAAAATGGAGATTTACATAAATATACAACATTTACATGGGTTACAATTGTGTATCCTATTTATGTACAAGAGATACTGATTGCAATACCACAGGGGCAGCTGACCTGTAACACCGACGGAATTTGAAGCACTGACAGAATGATTGAAGTTTGAAAAAATATGCAAGTTAGGCATGTCGATGTCTTAGTACACCTTGAAGCTTCCTGTGCGTTCGACATATAAATGTCACCCCAAAACGCCTACCTAGTTCTTTTAAGTACTTAAATATCTATCGATGAAACATATCCTATTTAGGTATAACATGCTTTTAATTTCTGTAAGAACTTTAATGTCTCCGTATAAGAAGGGTCTAGGCGGTTCACTGGCTTGCAAGAATTTATATGATCTGTTGACTCTAATACCTGTTTCAAAATTTCAAGATAAATTAGGAAAATGCCTTTGCAGCTGGGAACTCAGAAGGAAGGAGCTCGCTTGAGTCTAAGCTTGCTCAAAAAAAAGGTTTTATTTATTTATTTTTTTCTTTTGCCTGTCACATTAGATATAGTTTCACAATATACTTACAACTAGTTCCCCAAATCCTGGATATGCTGACTCAATTGGTACAATTTCCATTCGAAAGGCCCATCCACCATAACCTTCCACTATTGGAGTTACCTTGGTCTGCAAAAATAGGTGACAACTCAAACTCAAAAAACCAGTATGATACTAACAAGGAAAAAACGAAACTGCTGATTACCTCACAAAAACTGAGGACATCAAGAATGCTTTTCTTATAAAGTAGTCGAATATAATCATTAAGCTCGACCAATCTTGAAGACCCACTTCTTAGCTCTCCTATCTATATAACATGAAGAATCAAGTGCTAAAAATTCTTCCAAATGAAGCAATTTATTAATAGGAAATACATTAATTACTTCAAATGCTCACCGATGGAGCAGGACGAAGTACAAAGCCCATTCGCCAAGGCATATCAGCAAGTTTGCTGCCAAAGTGTGGACAGCTATAAAATACCTACAACAAAAAAAATAAAGCATAAAAGACGTACGAATTTTTAAACATGCATTTAATTCAGGAGTTGATACTTACTATTCCTCTAGTGTTATTCACAAGATTATCATGTTTTTCCTCCTTTGCTGTATGAAGAATCTGCTTCACGACCAAACCCCCCATGCTGCAGTAAAAAGAGAACCACGAGGAAAATACAAAATAAAGTCAGGCACAATTTGATTAAACAAATAACTAGGTATCCAAGATAATCAGAAACTTCAATTAAAAGAAAAAATCAGAACATTTAGTTGTGTTTTTGTCCAACAGCCATACTAACCTGTGAGTAACAAAAACAACAGGCCGATTCCCAATTCCTGCAGCAACAAGCTTCTCCATTAGCATAGAACTAACTTCCTGCAAGTTTTAAATAAAGATGTATATGAAGCAGAATGTAACTGGAAAGCAAAGCAACAAGTGTGGGGAATAGAAATTTGAGAAATTCAGGGATTCAATTACAGAAAAGTGAGTATAGATAGATCACAATTTTAAAATATTACAGTTTAGAGAGGTAGGCAAAAGAGTGAGCTTTGGCGCAACGGTAAGGTTGCTGCCTTGCCTTGTGACCTAGATGTCACTGGTTCAAATCCTAAAAACAGCATTGCCGCTTGCAGAGGTAGGCTCCATACATCTACCTTCTTCATACTCCACCTAGTGGAAGCCTCGTGCAACAGTCCCTTCTAGAAATATTATGTCGTGGTAGACCTTAAGAATCCCCTCGTGAATGCCATGATTATGGATTCGGTGAAAGAGAGGAAAGCAAATTTATGGATTTTGGTAGACACTTTTATGGACATGGTGCGAGTATTGTGTTCGGAGAGAGATGGGCTTCAATCAAATTGATCCGCCACCACCGCCAGCCAGATCCATTCAGGTCCTTGGTGAAGGGTCGATTGTCCACTGGTTTGATCGAACAGGCCCTGTTAATGCCTAATGCTGTCATGCTATGTTAAGAAATTGTGGTTGGGCCTAACTCAACCCTACAAAACCGGTTCAGAACTTCACGCTCAGGACTGGACAACTGAAGCGTGGAAATAAATGGTGGGTGGCCCGATAGCGGAAACCGGATGTTAAGAAATGTGGTTGGGCCTAACTCAACCCTACAAAATCGGTTGGTAGAGTGAGGATTACCCTCACTTATAAACACATATTCATGCCATATATTGTCCGATGTGGGACTCTTAACACACACCTTGCTCTGTCACTCTACTACATCACTCTACTACAAGGTGAATCTTATGGGGGAGTATTATTAGACCTTAAGAATTACTAGGAACCAAAACTGAATGTGGCGGTTCTATTCTGTCAAGCCGTTACTCTTTATTAGCAGTTATTGTTTTTAATATTAACACTTAGTAACAGTTACTTTTTATTAGCAGTTACTGTTTTTAATATTAACATTTAGTAGCAGTTATTAAGTATTTATTTGGGGAGTGTGAATAAAATGAGGAAACTGTAGGTTAGATGGGTTACCCTGGATAATTAGATGAGGTTATTTGGGAGGGAGAGAACAAGACTCTAGAATTTCTTGGAAACTCGTTGTAGTTACTACTAAATTTCATTGTTTGGTACCAGTTTCTATGAGGTCGCAAAGTTCTAATGGCTTAACATTTAGTTCCACATGAGACAGCTTAACATTGAGTTCCACATGAGACAGCTTAACATTGAGTTCCACATGAGACAGAAAATGATATCCATATACCCTTCCATGAGTAAAAAGATAAAATTGGGGCAGTAGAAAATTATGAAGTATTTTCAGTGCTGCCACTTATGCCTGTAGTTTGCAAACTAGAACATGAACAAGAGCAAATTTAAAACGTGGAAACTAAATGATATAGAAAAAATATTTTTTTCACAGCCCATCTTTTCAAATCACACTGAACACTATTTAAATCTTCATCCACCAAAGTCAGGCTCACTTCAATAAGAATTTATTTAGGCATGGGGATAACAGTAAGATAAATATATTTTAGAACCACAATGTGAACACTATTTAGTAACTATGTGTTTTGTAATGGTGTTAATATTGACTACACAACATGTAATAGTACTTCCAGTATTGGGCTATAGGAACAGATGCTGAAATTACAACTATGATGTCAGCGTAAGATAATGCTTAACAAGGCTCATAGAGGATGAAACCTCCACCATATCAACTCACATATGGCGAAGGATTGTCAAATTCCCAAATAACTTAAAAAAACAAAGTTAAAGATGGAGAAAGAAAATGTGATCCTGTTTCTTAAACTATTTATCTAGTAATAACAGATAAAGAGGTGGAAAAAAAGTTTAACCTGAAGAGGCAGGCTAGCTCCAGACCACTGTGTGAGATTAGTCTGTATAAAGCGTCAACAGTTAGATGCAGGTGAAGGGAATCACGCATGAGGCAAGCTCTAAACAATCTGTTAGAAGTAGGACTAACAATAAAAAAACATAAAAGATTTATAAGCAAGAATCGTCTTTCTAAGGCAGACAGATCAAAATCTTACAAAGTCAGACCTTATATCTGAGGGTAAACAAGCGCGCATGGGGAAAATCACTGGAAAGCCATTCACCAGGCCAAAATGTTCCTAGCTTTCCAGCTTCCTCGTCAATCTTCTCTACCAAGGTAGACATAGTCGAGGATTTGTCTTCAGATATACGCCAAGTTTTGTAAGGGCCACCACGGAGACCATGGACAAAAACCACATCCAGTGGAGGACAATCTGCATCTAGACTGCTTTTAGTTGAATCAATTGAACCACTAGAGCAGGTGCCATCCTCAACAACAGCAGCTGTGGACACATATATGTCTTTTGAGAAAGATCCTTGTGGATATGTTCCGTTGGAACACTTCCAATGAGGGAGATGAGAATTTATCAAGAATATCATGTCATCATATCGGGGACACATATTATAATTATTTACAACACCACCAGAAGGGCCAGCACTGTCAGACCTCCTATTATGCTCATCATTGCAAAATATATTTAAAAGTGCTGCCCTGGCATAACTTTGCAACTTAAGGTCACTGCAACCTGGAATCTTGCCATTAGCACAATCATCAAGCCAACTGCACCATGTTTTATCAGCTACAATTACTTTCTTGACTCTGGGAAGCAGTGAGAGGATGGTCAACAACCGAGCTGCATGCCTGCGGATATGAGCTGTGGGGGGAACTCGGACACTAGCTGGATCATTTATATCTGATCTAGGTGGCTCCTCACCTTCATTTGACTTTCTCTCCTGCCCCTCATGCGCTCTTGATGATGCATCATAAGCTTCCATAGCAGCCAGTCTCTCATAATCATCATTCAACAAAAAGCGCCTCAGCAAACATAAAATGCCGAAATCTACAATCTTGTCCTGAGACTCAGAGTCTTCTGCACAAACTTCAGTGAGTGCCTTAATACCTTTAAGGGTTGCCAAGGCAGATTCTGCAGCACCAAATTTAGGTTGACTATCCTTTTTCAAACTTTTAAATGGTCCTGCTAAAGGTTCCAGAGAAAGAAAGTCTGCCAGTGGGGATATATCCTCAGAATTAGACACAGAACTCAGTTGTTTAGCTGCCAGATTAACAACAGCACTAGAAAGCTGATTTGCAACTTGTGCCGCTGAAGCAATATTTGCATTATTGATTAAAGTCTGCAAAAGTTAAGACAGCTAAAATATAAATCAAAAGTTGACTTGGAATTGAAGCAGCACAATCAGACAACTATAGCCCTGTATGTTTTTTAACAGAAATAGATATTATTTTTATACCTTCACTTTATCACTTTTTGGTTGACTGGCTCCTTTATCAATTGATTTCTTGATGGAATTTTGTACCTCATTTAACAGCATAACCAACCATCCTTGGGAAAGTGGTACTGTTTTTGCTCCATAGTCATCAAGGATCTGAGACAGAATTTTTATGGACGAACTTCGTATAGTATCAGAAGAAAATGTTCCAAAAACCCAGGGAATAAGAATGCCTGACCACTTTTGACTCTCTTCAAAAGATAAATGACGATCCCCAGTACAAAGTAGCTCTAATGCCTTTGCTACTGCTTCTTGCACCTGCTTATGCTTTGTTGTCTTACCAATGTCTCTCATCGAATTAAGACCCTTCTCCATCACTGTTTTCTGCACCCCAGGACTCCTTTCAACAGATAAAAGAAAAGCAGAAAAAGCTACCCGAGCCAACGAAACATCTTCATGCTTACATGCATGAGATATAGTAGAAAGAAGATTGGAACTCCAATCAGAAACAGATTCATTCAAAGGCATATCACGGTCTTCTAAAAGCAACCGCACCACCAAACTCGCATGCCATTTTACTGACCTCTCAGGTGCCATTAGAGCAGACAGGACAGCGTTTCCATCCTGATCTAGCTCATGAATACGAGATCTATTCAACTGTGATGCCGTTGCCCAATTTGCCAATGCCCAGGTGGCAAAAGGAACAGCAACATGTTCGCAGTGCAAATCATCCCAGAGACCAGGTACAACAGCAGAGGACATATTTTGTTTTACCAGCGAGTCATCAAACTTATGATACATAAGGGCTGTCGTTGTACCACGCTTCAACGGTTTTTCTTTACCAAAATCTGTTGTCGATATACCATGATTCAACGGTTCTTCATGACCAAAATCAGTATTATCCAACTCCATTGCATCACGGGTCCTTGAAAGTCCTAAAACAGTTGTACCTTCAAGTATCTTGATTCCAATCCCTTTCCTTCCTATCCCACCATCATCGTCGTCATCATCGGGCGGCTCGTCTAAATGTAAACCCCCTTCCTCGATAACTTGTAGGGCTGCAGCAATATCTCTGGTTTCAGCATTTCCAGGCAAAGACGGCTTAAAAGATATCTTGTCTGCATTGTCACAGCTGGAAGTAACAACGTCCATAATAGCAGCCACAAGCATGCTCCTACCTTTCAAAGAATCAGAAATATCAAATCCACTACGTCTTGAATTTTTCTGAAATAAAAAATTGCATGATGTCACTAATGCTCAAGAAAATAAATATATCTAGATTATGAACTGCATTATTAAAGAAAAACGACAACAACTACAATTCAAACTAGGTCTTATTTCAAGCTTAGTAAAATCAATAATTACAACTCAAAACGAAAATCTAGACATAGAATCATTTACCGTTTTATTCTTGGAACGTCGAGGCTTGCAAGAGAAGATAAACCTCAGCAGATTTGGAACCGCCTGAGGTCGCGCAAACACAGCCGCAGAAACATCAGGATCCGCAATCAAATACGCCAGCGCTCTCGCAGCTTCCGCCTGAGTACCTCCACCAGCGTCTTTCACAACAGCAACAGAATCAAGGAGCCAATCCACGACAGCACCACCACCGGCACCAACAATCGCAGCTCTCCGACTGGAATTCGCCGCAGCAATGTCCGCCAGCAACGCCGCAACACGAATCTCGAAGCCAGAGCGTACTTCATGGTTCGCCGACGACAACACCGAACGCAACGACTGCCATAGCACAGTGGCGGCAACACCGGTTCGTTTAACATGATGGAAAATCCGGTTAGCAGAGTCGGCGGAGCGATGCACGGCGGTGGTATAGAAAGGATTAGTTTCTCCGGTTGCATCAGATTGATGTTCGCGGCCGTAATCGTAGATGAATGCGACGGAGGCAACAACGGCGGCGGAGAGGGCAATAACGGAGGTTCTGGAGAGAGATGAAGAAGTAGTTACAGGAGAAAGAGTTTTAGGAGTTTGTTGAGGGGCAATTTGGGGATTTTCTAATGGTTTTTCGGGTGAATGTGAATTGAGATGGTTATTGGAAGATGATGAAGAAATGTATTTGCGGGGATGATAGGAACGGAGAAGGGGTTGGGTTCTGAAACAGAATCGATGCATTGTTTGATAACTTAGTTTTATTTAGTTTTTATGATTATTATCATTATTATTGTTGCAACGTTATGAGAATAATAATAATAATATCATGGTTTTGGAATTGGTATTGAGGATATGAAAGAGAAGAGAAGAAGGGTCGTTTATTAATTGACTAGAGTGCTTTTGCTTTTGTGAAGATGTTTTCAGAAGTTGCAGGCGAAGATGGCGGGAGTGTATCTCGGTTTTGTTGCATGCAATGGAAGAAACTTGACAAGATTGTGAGTTTCTCTAAATAAGGATTTAGGAATTTTGTCACGAATATGCTATGAGAAATTAGGAACCACTTTGATATGTTTTTGGAATTATTTTTTTCATTTTTTAAGGGTGTTCGCGGATGTGAAAAAAATCACAACTACTTCTAGCATATGAAGATTGATATACTGTTTTTTACATATTTTTAGGTGTTCGCGGATGTGAAAAATCACAACTACTTCTAATGTATGAAGATTGATATACTATTTTTTACATATTTTTAGGTGTTCGCCGATGTGAAAAATCACAACTACTTCTAATGTACGAAGATTGATATACTATTTTTTACACATTTTTTAGGGTAAATGATGAGATATCCTATTTTGCTAAAAATTAATTTAGAAATACATCTTTGTATATATAAAACGTTGATTCTGATGTGTCTTCGTAAAAAACTCTTAATTTAAAATTTAATTAAAAATTAAGAAATTGTTTGAAAATGCATCTTAGGACGCTTTTATTTCATACACTCGCGTCAGACCTTTCCTTCTCCATCTTTCATTTTCTAAAAAAACACTAAAAAATAACGTTTTACATCTTTCTCATCCATTCAAACTTCTACCATTTGAGTTATTTCTCATTCATTCAAGCTTCTAATCTATTCGAGATTCTCTTTATCGTCCATTTGATTTGGTAAGTTTTTTAATATTCTTTCTTTTTTTGTGTTACTGTAGATTCCTACAAAGAAATCATTCCTATTAAAGAAACAAGACTGATTCTAAAAAAGATGAACGAGTAATAGATTTGCCTCCGTCTCGATTGTCACCAGGTGAAGTATGAAACCAAGTTTACGAACTACTAAAATTCACAGATATTGGTAAAGCATTTAGAATTCAAGGATATGGGGTCACACACAATTGGACAAAAAGGTATATTTTAGGACCTCCCATATTGAAAAGATAATTTGTTGCGTCATAATCTTAATGTTATGCATATTGAAAAGAATTTTTTTAATAATGTATTTAACACAATGATAGATGTTAAAGATAAAACTAAAGACAATGAGAAGGCTAGACGAGACATGAAAATTTGGTGTAATCGAAAAGAGTTGGAGTTGAAGCGTCAACCGAATGGAAAATTATTAAAACTCAAGGCTAATTACAGTTTAACTTCCCAAGAAGTTAAAGCGGTTTGTCGATGGTTAAAATGATTGAGAATGCCCGGTGATTATGCTTCAAATTTGGCAAAGGGTGCCGACGTTACACTGGGAAGTTGCATGGTATGAAAAGTCATGATTGTCATGTTTTTATGGAACAATTGCTTCCAATAGAGTTCGGTTCACTACTCAATCATATGCTTAATCCACTAACTGAAATTAGTCAATTTTGTAGAGATATTTGTGCGTCATCTTTAAGAGTGGATGACATCGTTAAGTTGAACCGAAATATTCCAATCATTCTTTGTAAGTTGGAACAAGTATTTCCGCCTGTTTTTTTTACTCCATTAAACATCTACCTGTGCATCTTACATATGAAGTTTTTTTGGTGGCCTTGTTAAATATAAGTGGATGTATCCCTTTGAAAGGTTCATGGGTGATTCAAAGCGATCGCTGGAAAATAAAGTTAAAGTTGAAGGATTAATATGTGCATATTACTTGCATTGGGAAACATCTCATTTTTGCGGTCATTATTTCAATCACTTGATGTTAACTCCAAAAATCATAAGGAATCCTGTAAATGTTATTGAAAAAAATCAATTTACCTTATTAGTCTTCGGGCTTCCCGGTCGCCCCTCTGGAAAGAAGGGTGTGCATTGTGTAACACCCCAAATTCTTAGAATATTTATTTAATTTATTTAAATATGAATATTTGCATTTTCGGTGATTAGTGCGAATATTGAGAATTATAGATTTTGAGTATTTATTTAAATAATAGTATATAATTGAATATATTGATATTATTATTAATTTAAATAAATATAAGTGAATTAAAGGCAAAGTGGACATTTGAGGAGGAGTTGGTGAGGGTGAAGTTGGAAAGCCCAATTTTAAGGCCCAAAGTTAGGTTTAACAAAAAGGAATTTTGAGGAAATTAGGATTCATTCTTGTTAGACCGTGAAAAGGGAAGAAATAGAGGCCAGAGCTCTGAGGAAGAGGATTGAGGCAAAAGCTTCGCAAGGTTTCCAAGTATCAAGGAGAAAGGCTTAGAGTCGACAATTAAGGTATGGGGAGTATTGTCTTCATTGTTTTCAATATGTGATTCAATGTGTTTAAAAGCTTATTTAAGGGTTTAGGGATTTTTGATTGAATTGTTGTTGCCTTTCTGATGGTGAGTTCAATGAGTTCGAGAGATTTGAACTGATGGTCTGATAGGTTCGAGGCTGATTTGAGATAAGGGAAATTAGGCCTTCGTGGTTAAAATCTATTGTTGAGGTTTCAACCCTGTAGGGTAATTAGATAGTGAGAACTCTAATGACTGTGGGGTAGTTGTAAGGATTTATGGGAATTGGAGGCGTAAATAAGATATGAGATTGGCCTAATAAGTCGTAGATTTTGTGCCTTTATCGCCGTAATATCTTAGGAATGATTTTGGGATATTTTTAGGGTATTGGGGAAGGAAATCGTAGAGGTTTTTGGGTTGGTTTTGGTGCTGGTGCGTAACAGCGATTCATTGTAATCGTGAGTTCGCACGAAGAACATTCGTCCCAGATTTGCACAACGAAATTGCTAGCGAACGTAGCAAAGTTTCACGAATTCTGATCTTGTGCAGTGATGTCTTGATGTTTTGACGTTGTAATTTCTCTGATGAATTACCATGAGTATGACTATGATTTCTATGTGATTAATACATGATTATATGATGGTTCCTATGATTAATTGTGATGACTTATGATGTTGATTTCATGAGTTTTGATGATTATATGATGATGCACCTAATGAGATTATTATGAGTATGATATTGACGTGTGTATCATGCATTCATATGCATCCGTACTTCGGTTTAGGACCTTGATTTTTGTGGCTTCAGTCCCATTGTGCGGGTGTGAGATATTTTGTTGTGCTCCGGTTCACGAGTATAATCGATCCTACTGTTGTGGATCTATGGAGGGTTGATGGTCCAGTGTCCATCGAATTTTGTTGATTGGTACCACATGCATGAGTCTTGTTGCATTTGCATTTATGTAACATTTTGATGTAATTTATAATGTTGTGGCCTTTGATGTTCCTTGATGATTCTGATGATGTTGAATATGAAAATGACATCATTTTATATATTGATTCCTATATTGATTATTATGAATCGTTTTACTCACCCTGTCTGTTTGAATGTTGCCTTCACGCGGGTAACGTGCAGATGACCAGGTTTAGCCGTGGATGCCGTCGAGGACTTTTGAAGTTTTTGGGTCGTTGGCCATTGTGGTTGACTTAAAGGGTCTTACCCTGATAGTGTAACATCGGGTTGGGGTCTTGAGTCAAACCTTATTTTATTGATGTTTTTGTTATGTTGATTGCCTTGCGGTGCAAGGAAAACTTTGGATTATTGCTTTTGAGTTCCTCTGCCTTTTGAGTCAATTTTGGAAAAAACCCGTTGTTTACAGAGCATTCATTATATTTGAATTTTTGAGAAATGTGTGCCCTTTTGAGATGATTTATTATGTTCAATATTTTACTCTGATAAATCCGGTTATTTTGCCATTATATTTGTGCGGTAGAAAAGGGTGTTACACATTGACTAACCCAAAAAGAAATGCAATCTGCACATGTTCATGTCTAGATTAAACCATATCTTGAGTAAGTATATCCCAAGTGTTTAATATTATTTACAGTATGAATACAAAACTTATTATCTTGAAACTTATAGTGTGTTTCTCTATAGGGACTTTAACATCTCCTATTTTTATAACACTGGTGTACAAGCATCCTCTGGTCACATACATGCTCATTTTTCAGCATGGTTCAAGGGAAATTGTCATGCATTGTTGCACCGACTCAAGAAATACTCCATTTGAGAAACTTGTCTGAAGGCCCTATTCAAAGCGAAAATGAATGGCACACATACTTCGTGAACGAATATAAATTTCACATTGAGACATGGACTGAAGGGAAAAAAACCCATAAATAATGGTGTATATGTAAAAGGAGTTACAGATGGTGGTGAGGACGACTTCTATGGATTTTTTAAACATATCTACGAGTTGGTATACAATTACTTGAACTCAGAAAATAAAGTTGTCTTGTTTTATTGTGACAGGTAGGATCCATATGCTACAGGTACAAAAATAGATAAGATATATGATACTGTTGAGATTCGAATAAAACGAAGGTACAAAGAGTATTTGACCCTTTCATAATTCCACATATTTTTAGACAAGTTTAATATGTTCCTTATGTTGGTGTAAGCCCTAGAGGCCAATACTTTTTGGTACTTGTATCAGATTATTCGTTTAATAATAAAAGACATTTCTTTATTATGTTTGTCTTTCAGAATAATAAAGTCCCTAGAATAGTTAGTCTGTTTAATGAAATGTTAAGTGTGACTTAATCATGAGATCCCATTAAACATAAAGACATTATTCTTAAAATATCCGTAGTCAAGCTTTATTGCAAAGTGGGATAACATTAAAAGCATTGAGACTATTATGAAGATAGACTGATGATCACATCTCATGGATCATGGATAAAGAGTTATCAAGTCTTGACATAGGTATAAATATTAGGAGTAATATTTATACCGGATTGACCCGCTATGAGAATACTACATAGTATGTTATGC